TGTGTGTGTGGGTGAGTTTGTTTGCGCGCGCATGTGTGTGTGTGGGTGCGCGCGCTGCGTGTTATGCGCTGTGTGTTGTGTGGTGGGGTGTAGTGGTGTGATGCGTTGTTTGCAACCCTGGGTGGTAGGGGGGTGTTTCTTGTCTTGCCGGACACTCCATGTTCTGCAATGGCTCAGGCCAGCTGAAGTCTGGAGAGAAGGGAGAGTAAGACAATTTAATGTCACCAGGCACTGGCGCTGATCTTGAACGGGCATCTCAATTACTTCGTTCAGGGCCTGTTTGGACACAGTTCCAAGCGTGAAAGCTGGCTGCCCATGAAAGAACATCTGCACTGTTTCGGCAAAACACAAGGGGACACTAACGGAAACATTATGACATACGTTGTTCCAATAACTACTTGAACTTGTGTCTGAACGCAAATCTGCATGGGGACACCTCATCCGGGCGACTTCACACAAGCCCGGGCGACTTAACACAAGCACCCAGTAGCCATTTACCTTTTCAATGTGGTAGAAGCAATGCAGAAGTCCCGCCACGTCCGCACACCGCGCGACTTTGTTGTCGTTGTCCGATGTGCTGTTGCTCTCCTGCAGGCTAGGATAGAATCTCAAAGCAGAAAACACTGTAGGCCACCGTCGCTCGACGACATATTGCATACTAGCACTACCGCTGTTTTGCTCGCACATGAGCTCCTGCAACCGATTTGTTCGCCAGCGCATTTGGAGAACACGTATTCTTTCAGGACACGTTGACAAGGATCACTTGTCGCGTCCGGGCATGGAATGCGAATGACACATTTGCCAAGGTGCGTTCCTGCTCCTCTTTTGTGTTTGCATCCGTTCAGGAAAAAGCTTCTAGATGGAATGCCCAGTCGGAGCACCCTCGGGACAAAATGCTGGCGGAACCCCCCCCCCCCGTCTCCGACGTCTCGGACCTCGCAAGACAAGAACTGACACTGACGCTTCCGGAGAATGGCTTCGTGACCGTGGCCACAACAGCCTGAGAATGCATCTGACCAATCTAGAATGGGTGCCTTTCATGCCTCTCTGTGTTTCAACTGGCTGCGGGCACGGTGACGCATCCAAATTTGCTTTATGGTTGGCCCGGGCTTCCCTTGGCTTAGCAAGGAAAACAAACTGACCCCAGAGTAGCAGAGTGAAACTAGAAGGTAACATGCTGTGAGCGCTTGCTTTTTATGAACCAACTTTTTTTTTCTGCTGCTGGGCTGTGGTCACACATGGACAGTACTGGAGGCCACCGCATCTGGCATGCCATAAACAGTGTGGACAGGCGGCCCGGTAGGAACACCAGGCTTTGCGAGCGCAAAGCCAACGCGTTGCTTTTCCCAGTCGTAGACTGAGTAATACTTTCGCAGCATTGGCTCGCCCAGGATGAAGGCACTGGAGCCAAGAGCAGGCGTTGGATCCACCGGCAGCAGAGAAGCCCGGCACACCGTGTGTTCTTCCTTCTGCTTGGTGACAATCTTCATAGGTGCAGCTCTAGAATACTCGCGGCCGCCCAAGCTTATGCGCACACCACCTTCTAGTTCAAAAGCCAATTCAGGCCCAGTCACATCTTGGCAATTCAGATTTGCTTCTTTGGTCTCTGGCACTTTGCGTGCCAACAGACGGTGCAACTGCTGCGCAATCTGCCGAGGCGCGCCCAACAATGAGGTGCCAGTGTCTGCAATGGCAACACATGATCCATCTGAGCAATGTGGCAATTCAACACCATCAACTGAAACTCGAATGATTTTGACCTGCCAGAATCCTTTATGCGGGTCATGTACTGGTGCCCATTGTAGTGCCGAATTCATGTGACGCACATCATGACCTCCGAAGCAGATCTCGCTTGGAACCGCATCATCCTCTGAAATGAAGTACCCGAATTGTGGTGTAAACCGTGGGCCATTCATCCGTGCCATTTGCTCAAAAACACTGAACCTAGGATCCACGGCCAAAGATGCAAGGCCCAAACCCATGACACCATCAAACCCGAAGTTCTTGAATGGCTCTTCTGTCATCTGGTGGGCTGTCACCAACCTGGCCGTTGCGCAGCCAGGCGCCTTCTCTCCCTGAGACTCTCGAAAGCAGATCACTTCCTCCACGAAGCTTCCAAGAATTTCACCAGTCCCAAAACTCACTGACACTTCATCACGCTCTGTATCCGGACCTACTTCCTGCCCCGTGTGATCAATCAGCTTTGCGGATTTGGAGACACTTTCATTGTATTTGCGATGCACCTGGCAAGCTTCCGATTGGCACATTGATGATGGCAAAAAGAAGTGGCCTGACCCGGTGTCAAAAACAACGGAAAACGCCTGTGGCTGCGGAAATCCGACGAAGACCTGGCCAAAGTATGCCGTCTTGTACGCAACAACTTGCTCATTGCGGTGAATCGGCACGTACTGCTTGTCCAAGGGTATGATGACCAAGGCGTCATTGCTGTGACCAGCAACGACCCCCAGCAAGCATGCAATGCTGCAAAGGAATGCTTGACGGTGCCTCACAGACTGAATGCACACCATACTGCACAGAATATGTAGGTTGCGCCGTCAAGGCCAATGGAATTCAATACCTGGAGATGGAATGGAACTGAGGGGTTTCAGTATCTGAGCTGAAGCATCTATGCTTGAGCAGAAGCCTGCAAACAAACAAAGATAGAACTAAATCCAGATCACGCCAAATCCATACAATGAATGCCCAGTATGTACTGTTGCGCAGGGTTGAAACACAAGTTTTGTCCTGCAACGGAATTGTTTGGCCGCACAGCAAGCAACAACGGATGAGCAACAACAATTCGCCCTGCCCAAACTGAAGGAAGGAAGGAAGGAAGGAAGGAAGGAAGGAAGGAAGGAAGGAAGGAAGGAAGGAAGGAAGGAAGGAAGGAAGGAAGGAAGGAAGGAGGGCTAACGTCCGTGTTGGCCCACTCGAACCGCCACAGCCAAAAGACAAAAAAGTACAACAGAGTCAGCGCCTGCCCTTGCGATGCTGCCAAACACTTCTTGCCTTGCACACGGGGCTGCTTGCCCATCAGGGTGCAAACGCTCTGCAGTTGGAGAAAGGCGACGGGACAAATTGTATGACGCTGGATCTTTGCTTGCGACAAAGTCAAAGTGTTGCAGTTTGTGTGCTGCAAGCTCGTGCAGTGCTGTTGGCTTGTTTGCCGAGAGGAAATGTGCGAAACGGTGTAGCTGCCGCTTTGAAAATGTTGTTGCGTGCCGATGCGGCCGCTCGCAGCCAATCGCAGCCACTCTGCACTTAGGCAACTCGACGCGGATGTTGGAAGGAAATCGCATTTCTTTGGAGACTGTCTGCAGGATGCGCATGCTTCCAGGCTCGGGTAGCTCTGGTGCAAACAGGCTTGCTTTCGGTCGCATGCAGTGGGCTGTTGGGGCCTTGGGCGAGGCGTGGCGCGAGCCCGTTGCCACAGCCCCTTCCAGGCGCGGCTGAGCAGCCACTTCGCCGTGCTGCGGGCGTGTCGCGTTTCTCCCGCGTAGCCTGGACGGCAAAACGTCTGCAATCGCTCGGCGCAAACTAGTCGAAACAAAATACCGGTTTTGGATCACTTGGCTGCTGCTGGAGAACTGCGTCGTCTCAAAAAGCACATGCTGGACCTGTTTCGGGCCACTCCTGGCGCCAATGGTCGTCAGCGTGTGGGCTAGGACACGGCAACACGGGGCATTTTGCTCAAGTTGATTTCCTCTGCAGCGCCGCATCGCGTTCCCCGGCAAAGCGACCGGTGAGCGCTGGGTGTATGATACGGAGGGCATAACTGGACTGCGGCGACGTGCAGTACAACAACGGCTACTGCAGGTCAGGAAGGGTCAAAAGGACTCGCAGAAGGCTTTGTTGCGCACTGCGTCAAGCTGGGCCCGCACATATGCATCTCCGCCCCTATGGGACACATCTGCTGCACTTATGTCCGCAAGGCTGCGTTCCACACCCGTGTCAAGCACAAGCTTTCTGCGTCGGAGCTCCGGCTGTAGGGCGACGAGCGCATTCGCAAACTTGTTCCCCACCAGCACGCACCTGGCAGGTCACGGCGCCTGCTTGAGCCTTCCCGCGACTCTTTCAAGAATTGGAGGACCTGTCGTCATCCAGCACTCATCGCAAGATTTCCCTTGTCTACCCTGAAGCGTCGGCTCTTTGACGCGTTTCTTTATGGGCTTCCAGCCAGACAGGTCTCGCTGAAGCACCGCCGCGCTCTCACCATCTGGTTGTGCCAGAAAATGACGCCGCCAGAGGGCGCTGTCCAGTTAGCACGTCTCAGTCGGCGGGAACCGAATGGAGCATGGGTGCCTGAGCACCGTCTCTACATCCAAAACATCAATAGCCGTAACTCTATTTGCCCCGTCAAGCTGATTGAGCAGAAGTGCTGGGGGGCTGGCGGCCCGCTGTTCCAGAGCACGTTGGTCCGGGTCAATCAAGGCAAGGCGGTTGCAACACAGGCACGCTCCTGGCAACACAGCCTTGCGAACTGCTGTTGGGCCACGTCCGACATATAGGGCAAGAGATGCGTTGCTAGTGGCCGCCTGCGTGCCGGGCACCTCCGCCATGGGCGTATCATCGCCAAGAACTGGAGAGGAACGCACAGCTGCTGCCGGCTGCTTACGTCCGCATGTGGTATGGGTCCCCGTCACCTTTTGCGTGGCTTGCAAGCGGAAAGTGGGGAGCAAGGCGACCCGCTAGCCATGCATCAAGCGCTTGCCGCCCTTCAGCTGGAGCTGCTCCGCCCGGAGGAGCGCTCCCTTGCCTTTTTGGATGGCTTGCGCTTGACGGCGCAGCCTGATCGCAAACAACCGTTGTTTCAGGCTGCGCCCCGGCGCTTGTATGAACGTGCCCGCATTTCCCTTCACCGCGCAAAAGTCCGGGTGTGGAACGCAGCCGCAGTTGAGGTGCCAGGCCTTGTGGAAATAAGTGCAGCAGATGTGTGGCAGCAGAGCAGGGGATAACTGTCCTCGGCGCCCCTTTGAGTGGAGATGCCGAACTTGACGCAGTGCGTGCCAGGAGGCGGTTCAACCACGTAGTCAAATGACAGGGCAGTTGAGGTTCCCGCGGGGTGACCAATACCCTCGACAGCAGGTCGTGGTAAAAGGGGGTTGTAAGGTAAATGATCTGCGTCGTCTCACGACTCGATGCGACCGCGGAATACGAGCCCTTTTGCTTTGCTTCACAGCTGTGTTTGGATGTATGCCTCGATTCTATTATCAAGGTCTTGAGCCAAATGCATTCGCATGTACATGTCGGCTGCACACAAAACACAATCCCCAAAAAGGTTTAGGACCTTAAACAAGGGGAAGTAACAGGGTGACCCTCAGAACCTGCCCTTAGGATGTTTTAGCCTGCGGCTTGGAGATTCTTAGCATCCCGTCGGGAACCAATCACGAACGCATGCCGACACGCATGCACGCATGGCTTCTCTTTTCCTCAATTCAGTGAAACGTCTCTGCACGAGTTTGGCCAGGTTCTGTAAACTTAACATGAAATGAGAATGCTACAGGTCTCTTACCGGACCTCATGTGCAATGGTGCACATGCAGCAAGCTATCTATAAGGTACTTGTACGGATCCATAGCAGTCTGCAGAAAACGAATATCCATGACGAGCATAGTCCATCACCAATTTTTAACCAGTAATAATTGTAGCATCGTATAATCGTTGACCACCATATATCTGGCATCTCCAGAATAGTAGTCACCGATTGACGATACTGTACGGAAACAAAGAAAACATTTTGCGGTGATAAATGCAAGTCTCATGCAAATACTTCTGGTTTGCCCAGTGTACCGTGCACGACGAGTACCACCAGGGCTGGCCATGATATCATTCACGATGAGTATCACGATCCCGTTTTGCATATAATTGCAAATTGCAGTTGATCCCCCATGTAGAAGAAATCGTTGAGAAAATGTTTGATCACCAGTGCGATGCTTCTGCGACGGCCTTTCTACTCGCCCTCCATCGGAACCTCTCTATCAGAGATTGTGGTGTCTCCTCGGTCCGATTGGTCTTCTCGATAAAGCGCGAGGGCAGATGTATATTGCGTGAATAGCACCATTGGATAAGAGGTGTGTCTACCTCCTTGACGCTTTGAATGCAAATGATGGCGCCAAGCTCAAGTTTCAGGAACTTGCGTCCAATGTTCACATCTGTTCGTCATGTAATTGCAGTTGAGGCCGGCGGAAAATTGTGTCGCTGATGAAGGCAATGTCCTTCTGATGGCTGACACCTCTGAACTGCTCTGCTTTATTGCAGGCGGTCCGGTATATGATGTATAGCCCTCTGAGCTTCAGGAACCAAAAGAACATTTCTTCGTCCCTGTGACTTGCGCTCTTGAACCTCACATTCCTGAACTTAGGAGCGGCAGTGACCTCTTCATAGGTTGGCGGGATTAGAATATTCGATTCATCAACATCTTTGAAGATCCAATCGTCCCTCCCGCTGATCAAGATGTAGGGACAGTATAGTCCGCCTTCTTTGCCAGGCTCCTTGACCACATCTGCCTCGTTGTTGGCGAATACCTTCCATACTTTGAAAAGTACGATGCCAATGAATCCAGAGAGGTATGATGCCTTGCCGGCTTCGTCAACGCAGATGGCCTTGACTTGCAAGAGATGAACTGCGTCCGCATCCTCCTCTGGGTTGTCGGGACAAACTCCCGCATCTTCATCGTCGATGTCCGTCCCGATATCCGACGGGATGTACGATCTGCCTACAGATCATTCCTCACTCATCTCCTGGGTGTCGGGTCGTTCTTCTTCGGCGACGAATCGCTCAGCATCTTCTTTTGCTTCGCGCTGAGCTTGTTTCACTTCCTCCGTCACATTGGTGGTGTCGGACGGTTTGGGCTCGTCGTTGTCCACATGGATCACGAACTTGCCGGTGGAAATGAACTCACATTCGCATGCCGTGCAGTAGCAAAATCCCTTGGAACAATGATAGCGCACGCTGGGCATACTCTGTTGGAAATGCTTGATGGGTCGTCCTCGCGGTAGACGATGAATCTGCTGAGCAAATCCCGGATCTCTACCAACGATTTGTCCAAGGCTTCGGGCACTCCGACGTTGACGCACGCATCGACGACCATCTTCCTCAGGATGTCGGCATCCGCTGAATCTTCATCGTCCAGGAAATTGTTGAGGTTTCCAAGAAAGTCCGCCGGGGTCACGCCCACAGCGTCCTTGAATCCTAGACAGATCTCGCTCTCGACTGCGCGAGAGTAGGCCCGCTTGACCTCTTTCACAGGTCCTTTCTTCGTGGGCTTGAATCTCCCAGATTGCCCTTATCTCTTTGAAGGGAATGGTCTCGAAGGAAACGATCGTTCCTCCCGATGTGACCCCTGACTGGAGCACGGACAACTTCCTTGTCAGCTAGTAGATAGGAACGATACCTCTCAAAATGAAACCTTCCAGGGCTGATGGCTTTGTCACGTGAAAAGCTCCGCCCAAGCGATGAGACATGTTCGGGAACAAGATGTTGCAAAGTTCAGCAGGACGAGCGAATCCGAAATCCGAATGCCCTGATGATGCTCGAATGCACCATGGTTGCCACATGTTGCCACCATCCGCCATGCTCGCGACGAATCTTGCACCGATCCTGTCGCGATTCAGGATGTGGTCGATATTCACCCATCCTCCGCCATTG